CTCGGATGGGACAGCAGCCTTGAAACCTGTGACGTTTGCTGCTGCCCAACTACAGGTGGACTCTAAGCGAGTTGGAGACATCAAGTCTATACCTGTAGAATTGTACCACACTTACACTTTCAAAAGCAAGCAATCTTCAAACGTTGGTCTGAGCATGATCGTAGGCTCTGCTGATCCTTCGGTTGCCCCAGTTGAAATTTTGGTCTGGATGACAGGGCAAGGCGGCTATACTCCTGAAAAAGCTCTTGGTAAGTCTACTGAGTATGCGGTGATCAACGGGGGCCTATATGACAAGTACCGAAGGAGCAAATTGGTATGGTACGTTCCAAGGATGGGGATGTTTAACTACGGAGGTGACTTGTTCCTTTTTCTCAACGATTCTCTGACGTCGTCGGATATTTCTATTGATGATTACGTCCATAAAGTACAGGCTGTCACCGAGATTATCACCGCTAACGACGCGAGGTTTACTGTGTCGAATTTCAGTGCACAAATTCTCTAGCTCGAGCTACCATTGCACCTTATTTTGTTGCCCCTCATTTGTCAAATATACAAACTTATTGAGCCATTTTTGTGTCGTATTGTATTTCCATATCATCCAGACTGTGCGTTTTCAATACCAGTAATTGTATGTTTGGTCGAGCTCAGCTGAAATACTTATTTCAAGAGTGATACTTAGTTCTATACATACAAGTAATTGATGTTTACGTTTACTGTCTTTTTATTATTCTGCCGAAGTGTTACGAAATCAAAGACAAGGTTATACTTATATTCGAAAGAAGCAATTTTTAATGAACACTTGGCGTCAAAGACATCAACTAAATAGATGTGTGATCACATTTAGTGTAGCATTTTGCAGCAGAAAATCTGTATACATTAATAGAATTGGTGCCTCAGCGCAGAACTTGCTCTTATAGTGCTTAAATAGCCACAAAACCAACGATATATTCGAATTTTTTTTACATATAGAATCAAAACTGTTTACTTTCATTCTATGTGTACATGTTAATAATTCATATCTGTAAAGCTCAGTTTAAGGTAATCTCAAAAATTACTTGAAGGATTTTTGAATCCTTAAGCAATGAGTGCAAAAAGTAGATTAATAACGTTACAGTCGAAGCTCGTAAGAGCGTATAGATGCAGCAGTAATACTGATATAGCAGCATACAGACTAGCTGCTCTCTATCAGTCAGATCCAACTCACTAATAGCCAACGTAAGCATCACATTATGGCCACTCAATGCGTAAATACACTGTGATGAAGTCTTTAAGATAAAGTCCAGTCTAACCAGACTCAGTCTAATTCATGAATACATGAAATCTTGATACAAATCAATACAAATCACCTATCTCTTACATCTAATAGAAGAGGAACAAATCAAGTAAAATTATTACGTAAGTAACAAACTGTAGAATATCGACAAAGAACTTTTCCAACGGTCAATCGAGCATTAATGGCGGTGACAACTTGGGTGACAACCCTCCTTTGATAAACGTGATCATTGGAGTCATTCTTGAAAAGCACCACAACATCTTCGAGAATAGGGTACAGGTCACCCAGGAAAACGGTGATTGGCGTCCTCGGGACATACCATTGCACTCTTTTCGGAAGATTCGTTCCGCACATGTCAGACATAACTGCGCCAATCCCCACTGAGTCAATAGAGTCGCTGAAAACTGGTGTAGGATCTTAGTTACCATACCTAGCCATCCACACCATGATTTCAACTAGGACAAACCTCTCGTCGACACTTCCCACGGTCATGTCGATAGGTCAATTTGCCATCTGAAGTGTAGCGATGGGCAAGATTTACAGGAATTGCCTTGATGTCTACAACTTTCGTGGGCTCCAACTTGAGCTGCGCAGCAGCAAACGTGAGAGAATACAATACTTCTGTCCCATTAGGTCTAGTCTCAAGTATGTTCGCGTGCGTATGAAATGCAATCGTGTGGTCGCTAGTGGAACTAAGTTGAACCACAGCTTGTTAGAAATATTGTCAGCATTGTGATAATTTTCGAGCCACCCAGCTTCAAGTACATCAAAAGCATGACGAGTTGGACCACACAATTCCGGAACATGGGCAGTCATGGCTACGATGGCGAGGACAATAGTGGCAACACGACAGAAGTATTCCTCATGCGTGATCCCAAACATGGCGGGACCAATCAAATTGTACTTTGAGAAGCAAACAGACTATGACTCCTGTTGAATCTGCCTCTACACTTTGATGGTTGATCCATCATATTTATCTGACGCTACTTTCGCGTGATGGGTTTCTGATTCCTTCAATGCGAACCATTCAGTGAGTAGTATCCTTTTAAGTTTTTTATTGTAAAATTAATGGGAATTATGAGATTTCATGTCCATACTTCTAGATTGGTAAAGCTCTTTTTTAAGCCTTACATCAGCGAAACTACATGTACAAAAAGTATTGCTGCTTCGTTCTACGGATATTGCTATCATTTTCAGTAGTCTTAAAGTCCATAAGCTTTAGATGCCTGCTTTGTGTCTTTTTTGTATAGCTACCATATAGTTGTTTACTTTGCTTTGATATGCGTATGATGGGTCATGTTTTGCAGACATACGCATTTTACACAACATATAGCAAAAGAATGAACACCAAATCAAATTGCGCCGTTCGATCCCTTAAAATGCCTCCAACTCTTGTACATAAAGAAAATCCTTCTCATACCTTAGAGTCGACCTCCTCTTACGTAGAATACCAATATGCTGGCTCCATGCAGCTCACACAAAGAATCCTGTTCTTGGATCGAGCGAATCGAGTGATCACCAGCTATTTTATCAACCCACTCACACACCTTCTTTTCAAAGCATCTTGAAAATCGGACGGCTTACGAAATCCTATCGAGGACAGAGCATGCAACGCACCAAAGCACCCGTTTGCTCGTAGAAATATCTACGCCAAACACGGACGAATTATCTTTTGATTTAAAACCATCCACCTGAGGACTCTTGACATTAAAATCTTGTGTAAGCATGATATGCCTTATCTCCTTTTCCGACAAATTATTTAATATGATCGACTTGCCACCATTATCCAGATCTAAAACAAGGATATGTGCTTCACTGTCGTCTTTCTTCAGTAACCTGAACAATAATTCACTTGTTTAATATGAACACGAATTCGACCATGGTGAATGGAAGAGGTGAATAGCTACGCCCCGTTTGGAAACGACGGTAATTTGATGTGGCATACAAACATTGTAATGTACGAACTTACGATCTGCTGGATAGCCCCAGATCGATGGCACCAAGATCTGTTTTTGAAGTTTTAAATAGAAAATATCTCGATAACTCGAGCGATGAATGCACTAATGAGTTCACGACTAATGTCGCTGTTATTGCTTAGAAATTTTGCTGTTTAGATTTAGTGTCTTTTTCAGCGATAAGAGTTGAACACTGCTAAAAGAATTGCAAAATTTATGTCTTTCCTTAGTGCTCGTAGTACGTTAATCAGCTTGCCTACCGATAATTATTTCTCATGCTGTTTACTCTGGTGTTCGACGGTCAATAATGCTACAGATTGTGACCACATTCAATGCTCTAAATCGTTCTCAGCAAGTTAGTATTGGGCGGCGAGGATGTTACCATGCATTAGCCTTTCGTTTAAGCAGGTGTCTGCACTTCCAAAATATAGACAACAGCTAGTATTTATCTTTCCCGAATGGTGTTAAATTAGAACCAGAATTTATCTACTCCATAGAAGTTGTTAGCTCTCCGTCTTCATTTCAAGTTGATGTAAAGCGCTCTCGGGTTTAGAGAGCAAGAATAATGCACTTGTCTATATACATCGAAGGTCAGTTGGCTGTTCTGGCATAATACACGCTTCAAATGTTATATATCGCTATCAATCAATTCTAAATGTCCATTTTTCTATCAACTGGCGATCTGCGTCAGAGCTCTAGTGTGTAAGATCTGGAAATAAGCTGACTTTGGTCCCTTCGTCACCTATTTACCGAGAATGCAATACAGACAAGTCTTCTATAGGTGCAAATCTCCACTGCGTTAGGTCGAACCTACCTGGTCAACAGCAATGTCATGTGCTTAAGCTTATTTCACCTCATCTATGTTTTGTGTGAGTGGAAGAACATTCGTCGCCACACAATACGCTAGCATTGTAAAGTGTTTGGCCAAAAAGGACAAATCCTTATATCTGTTATTCTAGCCGAAAGTATTTTGGAGCTGGACACCTCTTAGCAATCATGAGAGGTTCATATTTCTAGTTTTCAGCGGAACGCCTTTTAGAAGCGTTTGTATAGAAGCCACTTATCGTATCTGGTAAAAAGTCGATATGAATAGACCGTTTTGGTAGTATCACGAGATGTTCAAGCAATGCACCTGTCCAGTACCCAAATTAGAATTTAAGCGACATAATAAGCAGTATCAGAGTGACAGCGATAAGCAAAGGAAGAAATATCTAGTGCACGTTTGTTGACTGTCTTGACAGACGAAATGTAATGAAAGCTAGCTACACCATTATGTTGTTTCAAACTGTAATCGTGGCGAGCTGAACAGTGTTACGGTCTATTGACCAGTTTGTTTGAAAGTCTAAAGCCGAATAACTAGGAGAGATAAGATGATGAATGATGGAGATATAGGAAAAACGATCTTTTATTAGCTTTCCTGATTGCTACGCGTCATCAACGCGATATTGTGAAAGTTGGAACCTTCGATGCAGCCTTTTGGTCAGTTGTAGTCGCACGGAATCGTAATATTCTTTTTGCTGCTGCAATTTGCTTTACAGCACGATTTCCAATTCTTTACTCGCATACCGTCGCAGCAATGATCGCGTGCCGAGCTCATATCACTTGTGCATAGTGCAATGCAAGTACTTGTCTCATCACCAGAGACGGCAACAAGACCAGCAAGCCAAATAAGGCAAATCGTGAGCTTCATGGTTTGACGTATGAAATGGGGGGCAGAGTTGAGAGGCTCTTGTCAAAATGACTAGTGTGGTTATACAGCTCGGACTTGCAGACAGATCTCACTTACTCAGCAAAAATCTCAAAGATATGCAGCTCAAAATTTCTATTAAAACAGAAAGCAGACGTGATTCTGCATTTCCCTCCCCGGCACAAGAACCTAATGAACATAAGTTACGCATTGGTAATTGAAAAGCGACCAAGGTCGATGTCGCATTTCCATTCATTTATTGCTTGCCTTATTGGTACTACAAATTCTGGATTCCTTAACAGATCAAAAGCCTGCAATAGAATTATATACTCCCTCAAATAGATAGCAATCATTATAGGTAACTAATGTCAAGGTATGTCGCAAATTATAGAGTCGAGTAGCTTACGTCGATAGCACGTTGCTGAGAGGTATCATCAAATCGTATAAATCGCTAAATCTCTTTTAGATGATTAATCGCTTGGTTATCTTTCTTTTTCTTTTACCAAATACCTTTACATACACTCGAAAATTTCGCTTAATACATGACCGTAATAGACCTTGCAATTTGAATACACCACATACTGCTAGTTCAGTTCATGCAAAAAAGTTCTGCCATTGATTTTGTAAACTTTCTGAGCTTTGGTCGTCTGCTTGGAATCAGCTTTTTTGTGTGATTCAAAAAAAATATTTTGGTTATTGCGGAGATCAACCCCTAATAGGCTGAGATATATCAGCAAAGTCCAGAAGTATGTATAAATTGATCTACTGTGCACAATTTAAATCCAAGAAAATCGTAATGACAATATCATATATAGATATATGTGTCTCCATTCAATAATCACATTGCATATAAGAACACAAAAAAAAAATTTTTTGAGTCTCAACAAAAAGACAGTAAACGTATACATCAATTATTTGTATGTATAGAAAGAACTAAGTGCCATTCTTAAAATAAGTAATTCAGATATATAATTTGAGCTCGAACAAACATACAATTACTGGTATTAAAAACGCACAGTCTGTCTGCCCAAAGCATGATGATATGGAAATACAATAAACGAAACAAAATACCTCAATAAGTTTGTATATTTGACAAATGAGGGGCAACAAAATAAGGTGCAGTGGTAGCTCGAACTATAGAATTTGTGCACTGAAATTCGACACAGTAAACCTCGCGTCGTAAGCGGCGTTAATCTTAGTGATGGCCTGTACTTTATGGACGTAATCATCAACAGTAACATCCGACGACATCAGAGAATCGTTGAGAAAAAGGAACAAGTCACCTCCGTAGTTAAACATCCCCATCCTTGGAACGTACCATACAAATTTGCTCCTTCGGTACTTGTCATATAAGCCCCCGTTGATCACCGCATACTCAGTAGTCTTTCCGAGAGCTTGTTCAGGAGTATTGCCCCCTTGCCCAGTCATTCCCACATAAATTTCAACTGGGGGAACCGAAGGATCAGCAGAACCTACGATCATGCTCAGACCAACGTTTGAAGACTGATTGATCTTGAAAGTGTAAGTGTGGTACAATTCTACAGGTATGGACTTGATGTCTCCAACTCGCTTTGAGTCCACCTGCAGTTGGGCAGCAGCAAACGTCACAGGATTCAAGGCTGCTGTCCCATCCGATCTGGTTTCAGGAATGTTCGCTATCGTGTGAAAAGAAATCGTGTGGTCGGTGAAAGAAT